GGTCCTTCTCTGTGTCTGCAGGTGGCCCATACTCAGGCCTGACATACTTGCTCAGCAGCAGCTCTTGGGGGGGTCAGTTCAGAAGAGGCTTAAACTGGGTCTTCAGTATCAAGAGCTGGGGAAAGGAGAGCACCCGGAGGGAAACGGTAATGGAATCAAAGCGCTCCTTGGCCTGCAATCCTCTCCAAATCTGTGAGGTGACCATCCTCACCTGGCGACCCTCCTGAGAATCTCTAAGTATTGCTAAACTATAGAGACTTCACAAAGGCAGCATCATCTTTTGAATACCAGAAATAGCATGGGCCTCAGAGACCATGCTGCCGGCTGTTTGCCCTCCTAATTCTTTCAGGTACCCCAGAGCAGGGTCCCTTGGTTCCTAGCCAGGTTCCACTATTCCCCTCTACTCTCAACTGTGTGAGTGGGAGCACTCCAGATTCCAAACATAGGCCTAGTGCACACTGGACATTCCTCATCTGGATGCTCACCTACGTCATGGATGAACTGCTCAATCTTGGCCTGCATACCCCAGTAGCGGAACTCAACCTTGCACAGCTTATAGGCACACATGAGAGGTCCTGTCTGGGCTGCTGTCCGTGCCCAGTCATCAGCCAGTGGCCCTCGGCCTGTCTTGGCTGAGCGGTACAGCCGAGGGTCCTCTTCTGCTTTGTACTCTCCTGGGGCCACTGCATCCCGCACGATGTCGATGGTATCTGAAGGGGTTTCAGTCAGCACTAAGCAAACCCTGACTGTCTTCTAATCTCTACCCACCACCCCAAGGATTAGGAGGAAAAGCCTTTCACAGACAGGAAGATGAGACTTGGGGCTTGTTGGAGACCACCCACCAAGGCAACAGCAGGGGCCCAAGAAGGCCTCACCCAGGATTCTCTGTCTTCTCTCAGCCCCGCTCAGGTTGAAGACGTTAGGTTGCTGCCCCCCATCGGGCAAATAGTAGGTCTCTATCTCAATGGAGAATTTCTCCACGAAGGGGCAGGTGTACCTGGCAAAGGGCAGGATGGAAGTCATGCTGTGTGCACAGCACTGCTTCCTTCCCAGTCCTGAGCCTGCCCTGTCTCACACACTCACCGTGTCCGGGTGTATGGGTAAGCATTCCAAGACTCCTCTTCTACCTGCAGAGCGGCCTTGGGCAGCAGTGCCCGGAACCAGCCTGGGATGTGGGAGCCCACGTGGTACACCTTGTGTGTGTACTGTCCATTGCCTCCAGGCCCGTCTGTGTAGGGCCGGTTGGCCAGGATCTCCACACCGCTGCCCTCGCCGCTAGACTCCTCCCGGCTCTTTTTCTGCAACCCAGGATAGAAAATAGGGAACTCAGTCCCTAGCTTAAATTCTGGGGTCCCCAGGTTGGTTCTGATTCTTGGCATCACCTTTTTAAAAAGGTTGATTTAAGTGTCTGAGTGTTTGACGGCATATATGTATGTATACCACCTGCATGTCTGGTGCCTGAAGACGGCATTGGATCCCCAGATATTGGAATAGCTGCTGATTGTGAGCTGCCATGTGGGTGCTGGGAACAAAATCCAGGTCCCCCACAAGAGCAGCAACTGCTCTTAATAACTGAGCCATCTCTGCAATTTGCAGGGCCTTTTCAAGTCCCTGTAAGTCCCTGGCATTGGCATGGGCTCTACCCAGCTCCCATGGGATCCTGCGACCTAGCACTTGGTCTGGTCAATCACTGGGTGGGATGCAGGACTTGGCTTTGCTCACAGACAGGACCTATTCCTGGCACAACTCAGGCTGTAGCAGGGGAAAACAGAAAACAGGAAGGCAGTAAGTGCCATGAGGAAAAGAACATGCAGTAAGGATGAAGACCTGGGAACCAAATGCTGTAAGAGGGTCACAGATCTGACTGAGGGGACATGGCCATGGCTTGAATATATGGGAGCTGGAAGGTTGGGGGGAGGAGTTCAAAGCAGAGAAGTTTGTGCAAGCTTGGTAGGAAAGTATGACAAGTATGTAAAAGATATAGTAACAAGACCACCTCTCAACAGACTTCTCTTGCTCTTTCCCTCTGGAACCTCATTCCCAGGTCCTGTGACATCCGTCAGTGTGTGAGAGCCTCCAGCTGTTCTTTCATAGCTCTAAAGCCTAGATGTGGCCCACTCAACCCCCACGAGGTGGGATATGGCCCTCTCTCCTCCTAGACGCAGATTTTATAGGCCTGAAGAACAGACCTGGCTCAGACTCTGTGAAGCCCTGCTAGCTTGCCTTGATCTAGCGTTTTTCTCTGAGTCAAAGGCCAGGTGCTCTTCCTCACCATCTAGTTCCTGACTGCCCTGTGCCTGCCACAGTCTGAGGCCATGATCCACATGCCTCTTTTCTGATCTCCCGAGAATGCCAGGATTCTACACTCCTCCCCAGAACGCCCTGCTTAAGCTACCTACCACCTAATGTCCCTGGTTCCCCAGTCTCCTCATAGACTGCATTCCCTTCCCCCATGGGATTACAGAGTCTTTGGATTAAAGGAGACCGACCATATGTGGGCTGTGCAGGCTGGGCATTTAATGGATGGAAAGCACCCGTTGGCCTTTCTTGCCCTTCTGTCCCTCTGTCCCACCCTTCTGCTTGAATATCCAAAAAGAATGTCTCTCTGTCCTCTTATGGGCTACAGAACCCACTAACGGAACCGGTTGTGGGGTATCCAGCGGGACTATCCCCCTGAGGCCTGCGAATTCCCCTTCTTTACTCCACCATGAAGCATGGCTCCAGTTTCAGTCCTCCGCACCATTCTCACCTGGATCATGTAGAGCTGGGCCACTTGGTACTCGTCCAGGCTCATGGGCAGCAGAATGTGGTACTCCTTGATAAGCATCCTGAAGACGCTCCGCTGACCGCGTGCGGCCTCTGCTCCTCCTAGCGCAGGGTACCGCGCGGCAGTCAGTGCAGGGCGGTGGTGCGCGGTACCGAGCCCTGCACGCCCGCTGAGGGGCTCGGGCCCCGGAACCCCATGGCCGGGCCCGCCGCGGGGAAGGCAGAGGCGAACCTAGTGTTGCCTCCCGCACCGCGGAGCCCGGAGCAGCAGAAAGGCTCAGAGCTGACCTCTTTTCCACGCAGCCCCCGCCCCCCGCCCGCCTGTCGTCATGGCAACCGCGCGCTGACGCGGGCCCCCCAGAGCGGCGGCCGCGAGCCGACACGCCGCAAGGCCATCCTCGCCTCTTCTCCGCGGTCGAGTCCCAAAACAGCATCCCTCCGGGCGGCGCCTGGCTTCCAAGACCAGAACCTTAGGGACCCGCCCCCTTCACCACTTCATCCCCCGAAGTCGGTGGGATTCTGTGTACTCCACTCCTAGACGTCCACCTAGTCCCTTGTCCGCTAAGGTGTCTCTCAGGAAGCGGCCCCCATGGGCCTCTGCAACTCTGCTAATGCTAACTTACCTTATGGTACCAAAAAAAACCTCCGTCCCCCTCCCCAAACCTGCTTTCACCACCCTAGAAGGTACCCGGGTCCTGAACTATGTATGTACCCTTGGTCTTTGCCGAGTTTCCATTCTCCCTACAGCCACCCCATCATCTTCCCACGAGGTTGCCCATTCCAGGCTGGTGTAGGAGCGGTCCACTGGTATCCCTCTGGCCTCCGCCCTGGGAGGCCCGCTCTGCCCACCTGCGTCCCGGCATGGCGCCACAGTTCCGCTGCAGACACCCCTCCCATCCCCACCTCGCACCCAGCGGGCAGGCGAGAGGCCCTCTGTCCTCACTTCCCTCTGCTCCTTGTCCCTGTCGCCAGGCGCGCTCTTGACCGGCCCGCTCACCGATGTCCCCGCTCACCTCTAGCTTTCGGTGGGCGCCCCTCACCCGACCCGGGCAGGGGTGGCCGACCCCAAGGTGGGAGTCCGTTGTGCCCCCAGTCCCAGCCTCGGATTCCAGATGGAGCCCGACCCTCTGGAGGCGAAGAGCCGGCCCATAGCCCCGACCTTTTTCCCGGTCTGCCCGCCGGCGCCCCTGCTGTCCCTCCCCGCCGCGTCACTGCGGCCGCCCCGCCCCCTTCCTGGGCCCGGCTGGTCCTCCCTACCCCTGCAGGGTCGGAGCAGCCCCGCCCGCAGCGTAGCGGGGCTGGCCCCTGTTTTCCTTCTCAAAGGCAGATGGGGAAGAGGTTGGTCCCCAAATGCCAGTTTTTTATTTCTATGCTGTCTGGACACCCCAAGGATTCTCGGTTTTATTTCCCACCCAGGCCCAGCCAGGGCAGCCCTCCTGTGTACGTTGAAGAGGTGGAATTTGACCTGGCTGGATCCCAGGTTAGAGGAAATGCTGTACCCCAAAGTTAGCCAGAAGTTGGAAGCACTCACGTGTCTTTGCCTAGGGTTGGCATTTCAGGGTTACTTAGCTACATACCCAGGTAGAGGCCATCCCCTTAATGGAGCCCAGTCCCTACTATGCCTGTTAGGTTCTCAAATTTGGCCACCCATCTAACTGTTCCGACTCTGTACAAAGGCCGAGACACCCAGGGCTGGCTCATGGAGCCACACCCAGCCTGGTGGAAGTTGTCGGGACAGAGGATAGCAGCATCAAGCCAAGGTGGGGGCAGGGGGAGTCTCTAACTGCCTCCGTAAGGAGTCAGAGACCCGGTGTATTTAGGGCCTTCCAAGGATGATTTAAAGCGGAGGGTAGTGTAGGGGCATTAGGATATTCAAGGGAGAGGCTTAAGTGAACTGGTATTTCCACCCTGCCAGGCATGCCTGCCAATCCAGAGGAAAGGCCCTTGAGGCTCAGGCTATCCAACAGTGCCTCCAGCTGTGAAGGCAGCCAAGGCCCTACGCTGCCCCCTGGTGGCATCTCCCTATGCAGACTTCACCACTGGTGTTCTGGCCTTTCAGCTACTCTCCCAGCTGCAAGGCGCAGAGCTGGAGGTAGCAATGGACAGGATAGAAAGGCAGAGCTGGGTTCAAGCAGCTGTCCCCGCTCCCCGCTCCCCGCTCCCCGCTCTGCCCTCCCCCTCTGCCTGCCTCACTCAGGCTTCCCCAGAGGAACCACACATAGAAAGGCTCAGAGTTGAGAGAATGACTCCAAATCATCTTTTATTTATACAAAAAGAGCATATTTAGTAAAAGACACACCAAAAAAAGAGTCGGCTGTGGCCCCAGAGATGAGGCAGGGAGGCCTTCTGCACTCCTGCTGGAGAGGGAGGAGGCTACCTGGACGGAGAGTTAAGGAGTAAGTGCCGTGTGGTGGGGCCACAGAGAGGAGCAAGCTCCAGTTAGATCAGCACTGTGAGCAGGTCGTGGAAGGGACTCACAGTGGCCTCTCGGCACTCCTGCAGAGGGAGGAGACCAGTTTGTACAGCCAACTGGACGAAGATCTGCTACCTGGTTCCTGGAGGGCGCCTACCAAGGGACACAGGACAGGAAACCCAGTATAGGAAGCAACTTGGGGCGAAGGCCAGGGAGAAGCAGGTGCCCTGCAGTGGCCGGAAAGGTCCCGACGAAGAGGTCAAGGTGCTTCCTGTTACGTGCGGGCATTTCGTTCTGTCTCTGCCAAGCACTCTCTGACTAGTGCCCGAGCGTGGATGATGCCTGGAGAGGGGGAAGGGAGGAGCATGAGGAAGTAACAAACAGGGCCTCAGAAGCCGTCCACAGCCACCCTTCAGAGCAGACACTCCCCAGCCCCTTCCCGGTTCAGCACCTCTTATGTAATGAGGTTGGATGAGATTAAGGGTTTGGCTAATCCTCACATTCACCCCAAGTTCCCAAGCACCTTCTTGGAAACGGACTCAAGTTCATTTTGAAACACCTCCCTGGGTACAAGTTCTGTTCCAATCGAGGCTGGCCCAAATGTCCTCTACTGACTCTAGATATCCTCCAACCTTACTGAAACGTCTTCATGTTCAGTGTGTCCTGGGCAGAGGCATGGTGGGCCTGCAGCTTCACTTACCTCTCTTCAGGCGCTCCATGGCACTCTTGCTACCGGCATAGGTGGGCCGGATCTCTTTGCCCATCTCCTCTATGACAGACAGCAGGTCCGTGTAGGTGCTCTGAGAGCCCTGGGAACCGGGTGGCTTCATTGCCTGTCTCAAAAGAAGACACAGATGTGACCTCAGACCCCAAGGGGATCTCCAATTCTCGTCTATAAGCAAACTCTCGGCCATACTCACCTGTACATACCCCATGGAGGGCGGGCCAAAGTCATTAAACAGTGGTCTGAAAGGTGCTGCAGCTCCTGGCACTGAGCCCGATGGCGATGGGACACTTCCGGCTACAACGTAAGAAGTCAGAGTGTGACAAGGACCTCGTCACAGATTTCCAAGCCCAGGACCGTGCCCGTGACTACCTCCAAAGGCATGCTTCTTCATTCTACTCAGAACTTCAGAGACACACTCCTCCCCACTGCGCTCCACCTACAATCTCTATGTGACCACGCCCACTTCTCAGGCCAGCAAACTGAGGCTGAGCCAGGCTCGCTTAACAGGCCCCGTATTGCAAAACTCGAGCCGTTTCTCTACAAGACCTCGACTGCCCGGAGAAGGCGAGCAAAGGTGGAGTTGGAGCCTCACCTGTAGGGACCGGGGTGCCTGGTCCGGGGGTGCTGGAGCCCGGGGTACTGCTGGGGGCGGGCGCGATAGGTTTGTAGGACATCCCAACTCCTTGGTGCGGCGGCCGCCAGCCGGCCGCTCCTCCGGGGTTGGCTGTCCGGCAGCTCAGCCGCACTCTGATTGGCAAGCGAGCTGCACGCCCCTGGTAAATAGAGCTCCGGCCGGAAGGGCGGGCGGGCACGACCGTTCCTCACTCTCGATTGGCGCACTCAGCTGTCACTCGAGCCTCCTCATTGGCTGAATCTTGCCCCCACAGGCCGCAACCGCTGCCGATTGGCCTCCACCTTCCGGACCTCGCACCTGTCTGCCCCGGATTGGGCGGTGACAGCCGTCCTCCTCAATTGGCGAGTTCGGGGCCCGGGGCCGGCGCGCTTTCAATCCGATTAGTCCCGAGGTCCGAGAGGCGGGGCCTCGGCAGCGGGCCAGTCTGGTCCGTGCGGTTTGCTCGAGTGGCGTGTGACGGGTCGCCGAACACACTCAGTCCTCACCGCCTCGCGACTTCCCTTCGCTGTGAACTCCCAAGGCCACGGCTCCCACAGTGTGAGCACTCCGCCCTACCCCGAGCGTTTTACGTCACCTTTCACCGGTTCAGTGCCCCCTCTCTCGGCCGTACGCATGCGCGCGCCTTAGGCCTGTATTTGTTCCCATGGCAACGGTTCCCTCGCCAAAGTCATTACCAAGCTCTTTCTCTGGGTTGATTTGAATCTTAGGTCTAGGCAGGTGGTGGGTCCAAGGCAGCCAACGACGCTGCTCGAGATCTGAACCCTAAGTCCCCCACCTCCTCCACAGACAATGATAGAGCATCCTAGAATCAAGGACTGCGTTAGGTCAAGTCAGGACCCGGGTCGAGACCCTTGGCTGGAATCTCAACAACTCATTAATGGTTTTCCTCCTGGGCTCTTCTTTTGGCGGGTTGGATGGAATTGAGACAAGGTCTCGAGTAGCCCAGTCAGAATTCGAACTCTGCGTTGGGGAGGATGACCTTGAACTGGTGCTCTTGTTTTCTAAGTGCTAAGGATTACAGGCACACACCACAGTTTCTTGCCTTAATATTATTCATTTCCTTGTATGAAACATGAAAACAATAATACCTGGGGAAAGTAAACTAGGAAGGGGGCAGAGAAATAGAGACTATGGGTTATAGTGGGTTATATGGGTTGAAGCACGGTTGATTGTTTTTCTGACTTCATTAATGAAACTCCCACCAGGGTCTGGCCATCTAATTCCTATTTCCTTGAAATCAATTCACTTTAAAATAATAAAAAAAAAACTACTCTATGTATATGAGTGTTTTGCCTGCATGTATGTCTGCAGAACTGATAAGCCATGTCTTTAGCCCCCAACTCACTAAAAAAAAAAAAAAAAAAAAAAAAAAGCAGCTGCAAAGATGGCTTAGCGGATAAGAGGACAGGCCGTTCTTCCAGAGGACCCAGGTTAGATGTTCAGTGTTCACATAGTGCCTCAGAACCATCTGTACCTGCATTTCCAGTGGGCCCAATATCCTTTTCTGCTTTTAGTGGGCACCAAGGAACATGTAGTACACAAACATACAGTCAGGGAAAACACCCTAGACATTTTTTTTTTTCCTGAGAGAGGGTCTCACTATCTAGCTCTGGCTAACCTGGAACTCAATAGGCTGCCCTTAAACTCACAGAGATCCTTTCTCTCTTCTGCTTCCTGAATACTTTGATTAAAGGCATACACCACCACTCCCAGTTAATAAATCTCCTTTTTAAAGACTATTGAAAAACAAATCGCCGGGCAGTGGTGGCACACACCTTTAATCCCAGCACTTGGGAGACAGAGGCAGGTAGATTTCTGAGTTTAAGGCCAGTCTGGTCTTCAGAGTGAGTTCCAGGACAGCCAAGGCTATACAGAGAAACCCTGTCTTGAAAAACAAAAAGCAAAAAAAAAAAACAAAACGAAAGGAAGAAAGAAAGAAAGAAAGAAAGAAGAAAGAAAGAAAGAAAGAAAGAAAGAAAGAAAGAAAGAGAGAAAGAAAGAGAAAAACAAAACAAATCAAAAGGCTGGAGAGATGGTTCGGAGTGGTTAAGAGCGCTAACTGTTCCAAAAGTTTTTGAGTTCAATTTCCAGCAACCACATGGTGGCTCAGGACCAGACCATCTGTAATGGGGTCCAATGCCCTCTTCTGGTGTATCTGAAGACAGCAACAGTTTACTCAAGATACATAAAATAAACAAATCTTTAAAAAAACCCCAAACAAACAAAAACAAAACAAAAAACCCAGCATTTAATCATGCCTCTTTAGAATTCTCTAATGTGTAATTAAAATAAGGCCCGGGGATGGTTGTGCAAGTGTGTAACCTCAATTGAGGCTGGAGGATCATGAACTCAGCGACAGCCTGTCCCAAATAAACAAAAATAAAAGTGATGGTCAGGTTATCCAAGTGTGCCAGCAAGACTGCACTGTAGGAAAGACAGCAGTGGGTGGGAGTGTGTGAAGAGGAGCTACTGTACAACACTCCTTTTAGGAATGTCCCAGTTCCCCTCCCTTCAGCCTTAAGCCTTCCTGCTTTCTCCATTGCTCCATATGTTCATCGCTTGGGGCTGAGTAATATCCAAACGAAACAAAATGCCATGGACTGAGTAGTTTAAATCGAGATTATTTTTGCACAGCTTAGGGACTAAAAGTCTGAGATCAGAGTACCAGCCCCCTGGGTTGCTGTAATGGGCTTTCTTCCTGGCCCCACACAGTTTCTAGATAAGAGCCCCACCCTTTGACCTTTAATTTTCACTTCTTCTTTAGAGACATACCTCCAGATTCAGCCACAGAGGGAAATAGAGGTGCACATGTGAGCTTAAGGGAACACACAGGTCTGTCCTAAAGGAAGTTAGAGCAGACAGCTGCAGGCTACCAAAGACCAGACTGCTCACCCTGTGTGTGTGACATGCATGGGAATGTGTGGGTGCAAGTCCATGTGAATGATTGAGGAGGCCAGAGAATATCCAGTGTTTTCAGTTTTCATCTACTGCTGTTTGCCTCATTGCCTTGAGAAGGGGTGTGTCATTGAACCAGAAGCTCACATTTCAGCTAGCCTGGCTGTCCAGGGAGCCCCAACTCTACCCCAACCCCTAAATTTTAGGATCACAGGAACACTCAACCATGCCTGATTTTTCTACACCAGTATTCAACTAGGGGTTCAAGCTCAGATCCTTGTGTGTGCAGAATAAGCACTTAACCCAGCCCCTGGGGTTTGTGTGTGTTTGCTTTTGAGACAAGATTTTGCTATAGCTCAAACTAGACCTGAACTTGCAGCAGTACTCTTGCCTCTGCCTCTTAAGCTTGGCTTACAGTGTGAGTCACCCTGCTTACCTGCACATTTAGGGAACCTTCCAGTATGGCATCCTCCAGATCAGAGGCTAGTAAGTGAGACCCACAGACTCAGTTCACCTCACAGGCTAACCCACTCAACAACCATCTGTAACTTTATGTGAATAGCTAACATTGTTTTTCCTTTACTTTAAAAATTGTTCTATTTTTAATTATGTGTATGTCTGTGTGTCTGAGTGGGTATGGGCAGGGCAGGGAAGGTGCCTGAGGAGTCCCTAAGAGGCTGACAGATTCCCTGGAGTTGGAGTTCCAGGCAGTTGTGAGCCACCCAACAAGGGTGCTGAGGATTGAACCCAGGGCGTCTGGGGTGGTAGGCACTCTTGACCACTGAGCCATCTCTCTAGTCCCTTCCAAATAAAAAAATAACGTTGCTTTTTGTTTGTTTTTATTGTGTGTGTGGGGGGCTCTACATGTATGGCTGCATGTGTCATGGTGCATTCGTAGTGACTGGAAGACAGCATACAGGACTTAGAGGGTTGTTCAATTCTTCTGCCGTGAGGGTCCCAGAGAATATACTCATGTCGTCAAGCTTGGCAGCCAGCACCATTACCCAGTGAGCCATTTTGTTGGCTCCAGTTTGTATTTCTGTGTATTTCTCTCCACTTTATGCTTGTAAAGTTTTAGAACAGAAGCTGTTAAAGGCTAGGCTCACAACCCACTTCATGTTTGTCAAGTTTCATGCTAGAATGTTAAACAAATGAATGGATTCATAAGCAGAGAGATCCCTCTACATCTCATTAAGATAACTGACCCTCACCAGTGACTGACAGGGACATCGGCAGCATGAGCTCTTCTGCTCAGTTGGTGGGAAGGCAGCATGGTGCAGCCACTGCAGAAGATACTCCAGCAGCTTCTCCCATAATTATAGTCTTATCACAATGACCCATAAAATGGGTGTTGACCAACTGATTTGAAGATGTCTGTCCCTACAAAGCATGCAGGTGTAGCTGTTCATGGCAGTTTTATGACCTGTGACAGTGCAGATGTATTTGATGTTAGTGTTCCACTCCTGTGACAGGACATCTCAGACAGTTGCCCAAGAGGAAGACGTCGTGTGTTTCATGGCTTCGGGTTTCAGTTCATGGTTGTTCCACTCTGGTTGGAACCTCTGTCAGAGGACAGCTGCTCAGTTCATGGCTGTGAAACTTTCATGAGACGTGAAGAAAGAGGAAGAGGGCACTCCAGGATCTGAATTGTCCAGGGACTGTCCCCTGCAAGAGCAGTTGCCCAGCGACCTCCCAACCTCAGAAGGCCCCACATCCAAGAGCTTCCATCCCTCCTAGTGAGGAATGCCATCAACTGGGGGAAGCAAACCTTCAACACGTGGCTCTTTGGGGAGACATTCAAGATTCAAGCTTGGTATACTCCTGTAATCCCAGAGCTCAGTAAGAGAGTGAGGACCATAGCCAGGAGTTTGAGATCAGGCTGGGTTACATAGCCGGACTTTGTCTCAAAAGTAATTTCCAAACTATAATATCCTTCGATGGGTGAATAGGAACACATGGGTGTCATGGCTCCTGCAGTTAATCCCAGCACTTGGGAGGTGAGGCAGGCAGAACTCAGAATTCAAGGCCATCTGGTCCACACAGAAAGTTCCTGGATAGCCAGAGCTAAATAGAAAGACTGTTTTTTTGTTGTTGTTGTTGGTTTTTTTTTTTTTTTTGAGACAGGGTTTCTTTGTGTAGCCCTGGCTGTCCTGGAACTCACTCTGTAGACCAGGCTGGCCTTGAACTCAGAAATCCACCTGTCTCTGCCTCCCAAGTGCTGGGATTAAAGGCGTGTGCCACTACCG